TAAATTCTTTTCCTTTTGTATGTAGAAAATGTTTTACTGCTTCTCCTTCATCTGTACTATCTTCCAAAGTAATTTCAATCTATAAACCAAATAATTATAATTAAAAAAACTAATTAAATAAACTTAAAAAATATAAATAATTATTAATAATATTTAATGAAAATTTTCAAATAAAAATATAATAATATACTGATATTCATTCAAGTTTTTTCTTTAAAAATTACAACATATGTACTTTATGTTTTAGTTAATATATATTGAATTAATAAATATGAATTAAATGATTATGAAATTAAAATTATATATAACTATATTTTGTAACTATGTTTCTTAAAATACTTACATCTACTTCAGAAATTTCATTTTCTTCAGAGAGATTTGGAATGTTTATTTTACCCTCAATCTTCTTATCAGATACTTTATTGGATTTCCATTTCAAAACAATATTCCATTCATAAAAGAAAATTAATTTACCTTTCCGGTTATTTGCCATTGCTTCACCTTCACATTTCTCTACTTCTGTTACTGTACAGGAAGCTAAAAATAATATAGTTTCTTTAAATTCATATTACATATTAATTTTAACATACAACATACAAATAATTAATATATGCAGAAAGATAAATATTAAATTACGTATATTATCAATTATATATTTCTTCAAAAATATGTAAGTAGATAAATAGTTTTTTATGTCATAATTAATTTTATTATAATTATATGCAAATATATATTATAAATAATTATTAAAATAAATCAATCATATTAAGTTTAAGATCAATTTTATCTTTATAAATTTAATATGATTTGCTTTATTATATATTATAATTTTATTGATTATTAATTATATATTTTTATTTATAATATTATATAAAAGAAAAAATGCAAACCTTCATCTCCTTCCATCTTTAAATTAGTAAATAATTCTTTTATTTTCTCTTGGGACCAGGTACAAGCATTTTTCTCTGTCCTTAAAGAATATTATTATATGAAAAATATTATATTAAATTTAACAAGTAAAACATTTTTTTAAATTTTCAAAAAACTAAAATATTCTACAATAATAATTAATTTATTAAATTTACAACATAAAAAAATATAATTTTCATTTTGACATAAAATTTATATGTAAAATATCAATATTTAATTAACTCAATATATGTATGATATATATAAATCATATATATAATAATATAATAATCTTTTAATTAAAATTATATATATTTTATCGTACCAATGCCAATTATTTACATTAGTAGCATCAGGTCGTTCTTCAACGATCCACCTTGGATCTCCTTCACCCCATTTAGCCATTTCTTTGAAATTGAGTTATTCCTAAAACATAAAAAAAAATCATTTAATAATAAATATGACAAAATATATTTTTAAATATATAATTTCATGAAAAAAATATAAAAAATAAAATTTTACAAAATAATATAAATATTAAATTAGATTTTAACAAAAACTTATGAATAATATGTTAATATAAAATATATATTATTTTTAATAAACTTAAAAATATTTTTAACATAAATTGTATTGATAAATTACAATTAATATTATTTTAAAAATTTAATTCTATTTAAGCATTATATTAATTATAAACGAAATTAAGAAATATCATAAATAAGATTAGAATACAATAGAATAAATTATTAAATATTAATAAATAAATTAATTCAAAATTTTTTTTTATTTTCGAAAAGAAATCATTTAATTTTTTATTACTTTGAAACTGTTAAGAAAAATAATATAATATAAATTGTATCGAAAATATAATTATTAAACGTAAGAGAAACGAAACCGGAAACACAGTTCATTTTCATTTCAGTAAAAAGTAAGTTTAGAAAAAGTATGAAATAAATTTATTTATAATTTATTGTTATTCCATAAACATTTTCAATTCAGACAAATATTTTGTATAGTCTAAATATGATATTATTTAGTTATATTTCACTTACCAAATTTTCGAAAACTATATCGGCTAGAAGAAGATCTTGTCAATTACTCTCTATTTATATACAATTCGATTTTATTATCAATTAAAACTTATTTAAGTACTTAATACATTGTTTTATAAAAAAAATTACTATTTTTTTGAAAGATGCGGAATTCGTTCAATGTAAAAATTCTTTTGAACAAATAAATAACGTGAAAACCGCAACCTTCCACATGAAACTCGAAATTACTAAGGAAACAAAATTATAGTGGAGGGGATATAGAACCTTTCTAGAAATTTCATGAACGTATGATAATAAAATTATTTTAGATAGGAAACTAAATTTGAAAATATATTGGATAATAAAAATCTAAAGAATAAACTATTATGTAATAATCAAATAAGTTTACTATATAAAATTAAATATTAATAAATGTCATGTTATAAAATATATTTTATTAAAATTTTATTAAAAAAATTGAAAATATATTAAACTTTGATTGATAAAAAAATTGAAATTCTCTTTGAACAAATATAAGTAATTAAAATATAAATAATTATAAATTACAATAATTATTATTTACTCATATCATAAAAAGAATAAAAATTTATTCTCAATCTTTATTCCTTATTTCATTTTATAGGATCATATTATTTCATATAGGATAATAAAAGAATTATATCAATACTACTAATTATAATATTTATAAATACTAATTTGTTTTTGCATCAAATACAGGTTTTGTTGAACAATTTAATATCATACAACAACATAATAATAAATTTTAATGAATCTTTTCTTTTAAAATATGTATATGATAAAATGAATAATAAATAAAATATCGCAATATTTGAAATTAAAATTTAAATGCAATATTAACGAATTAATTTTTAAAGAAAAGAATATTAATTGAAAAATATATTATATATTATATAATATATTATAATATAAAATATAATATATTTTTCAATT